CTCTTTCCCCATCAGAATCAGATTTTACTGCTGTAATGGTTAGTTCCAGCAACCCCATATCCATAACACGAACATAATCTGAAAGCAATGAGTTATTAAAAAAAAAAAACATAAAAACCAAAAATACCCACAAAAACTTTATAACAAACATGATCCATATGATGTATTTTTGGTTATTAAACCATTAGAAATAGCATGAACATGGCAAGGGATCTTTTTTACCAAAAACATTTCCATCTCTGATTTCCTTCTTTCATGAGGATTACTCTCAGAGTTCAAGTTTCAGCTACTCAAGCCTTTTCAATCCAATATATCACTCCCACTGCCACCATCTGTCTGCAGTGTAATCTTTCAATATATTTATCCTCATGCCATCTGTGTGACTTCGAGAAAGAGGCACACAGAACTTGAGTGACTAAGCATCCCAGCAGCTTTTTAGTTGAGGTGAGAGAGGACATTTTAACATTGTACTAATCTTTCAGTACCATGAATAAGTTATTCCGCTCTTTCTTGTTATAAGAAAACAAGCGTATCTTTACTTTGTCCTTCACTAGAGATCTCTTACTTAAGCTAAATACACATATTTGTGGGCACAGGATTTCATTATTTCTCCAATTAATTTGTTAAATATTGATTCGAGTTCCTCAGTCTTTAAAGGCTGTAACTATATGACAACAAACCAGCTGGTATAACTCTTTTCAGAACCTAGAACTCTGTGCCATATAACGCCTTTCAACTATTTAGAATAGCTAGTTCATAAAATGAGACCTCTTTTCTATGAAAATTTCTTATAGTGCCAACTGCAGAGTTGTTTTAAAAATATGCTTTTTTTCTAATGCCCATTATGGAACTGCAATAAGGAAATGAAAGACTTGCAAGTTGCTGTTCCCTGACATACTTCTGCATCCACAAATTCAAACTAGAGTACCCAAATTTCCATCAATATTGCATTATTCATTCATATTCAACTTGCTACTCCTTGTCTCCTCAGACCTCTTCTTCAATGACCTTTATGAATGCTGAATATGCCTATGATTTTGATATTTTGTTTCTTTAGGCTCTGCAATTCATTAGTCACATCTAAAACACACTTACCTCTGTGGAGGTTCACAATAACCGTGTTGCACTTGTCAGACAGATGCAAAGCAGCTTCATCTAAAATTATCCTAAAAGATAAAAAAATGAATTAAACATGCTAGAGAAATTACGCGCAATTCACCAGACAAAATAAATTAGTATAGAAAAAATTTTAACACATCTAGCATATCTTAAATGCAACTCTTCAATTAAACCTTCCATAATTTCCAAATCCCTTGGAAACTAACCACTTCAAGGTATTTTCCCATTGCTAGTTATGTTTTATTTGCATTTCAATTCGTGTATTTGATCCCTCCTAGAATACAAGGTAATGCTTTTAGCATACATAATTAACACTTATTTCCTTTTTTGCCTTTGTTTCTTTTTAATAAGACACATTTATTTTCAAAGGTGATTTATAAGGTTTCACCAATAGTAACAAGCAACTTAGATGTTTCACATCAGAACAGATTTAACAGACTAAATATTCAACTAAAGTCACAAGAAAAATTATTAAAAAGTTAGATATGTTCAGTAATCACTATTTCCTTAATTAATATACTGTCTCCAAATATCAAATCTTCAAGAAATCATAAGGTGCCATTATTTAACAAAACAAGCACAATTTCATTTCAGAACATCTTTCAACCCTACGAGAAAATGCAGAATTGCTAGCTCTTAAAAGAAAGCAACTTAAAAAAAAAATTCACCTAATAAACCATGTAATATATTTCAAAGGATACAAACCAGTGTGATCATTTACACAACACGTTTCCCGGGTTAAAAAAGCATTACAGGCATTACAAGTTTTACAAGTGTTTCATAATCACTTAAATTATACCTGAGAGTAGAAGAGGATTTATCTACTGCAACACTGCTGGAAATGCTGAAAGTTTCAACAGTAAGTAGTGATCTGACTGGCAAGAACAATGGCCTAATAACAAATAGCAAAAGAGAAAAAGAATTAATACTCTGTACTTATTTAGAAGTGCAATGAAAGCCTTATAGGCTACCTAACTAGATCTCCCCAGGCCTACTCTGTACTTATTTAGATAAGTGCAATCAAAGCCTTACAGGCTGCCTAACTAGATCTTCCCAGGCCTATGCAAATGCATATCACACTTTAAACTGCTTACATTTTAAGAACTTTTAAGTTCTCTTAAGGACTGTTTCCAAACAAGCCTAAATACGTATTATTTACAATATGCAAACTTGAATGTTCTTGAAGAATAAATATATAGCTACAGTGCCACTGAGTGACATACACTTGCATTTTATTTACCTGTAATCAAGAGCACAACTCCACAGATGTACATGAAAAGTTGTAATTGTAGCTGGAGGATTATATCCCAGAACAGGCTCATCAGAAATATTCAAAAAATACAAGATCTAAAAAATTACAAAACATAATATTAGAATACTTACATCCTAGAAGGAAAGAAAATCTGCAGCAGATACGACAATAAAATGTTTGATTAATAGAAGGAAAAGGGAGTGAGTAATCTCCGATATTTAAAGGTGCTTACCCAGTATCTGAATACAGAAAAGCATGGAATGTAAACGGGGCAAAAGATACAACATATCCAAACTACAGCCTCAAAAAGTAGGGAAAAGACCAATCCACAGATGCCTAAGTGGTTCTTTGTACAATGCCTCACAATTCATTTCTAAAACATTGCCCAAATACAGTCTCATTCATCTTTCTTTGCAGTTGTTATTACAAGATTAGTATTCAGTTTGCTCTGTATATCTGAAAAGCCAGCTTTTCTTGTAATACTGTACTTCATTAAAGTTACCTTCAAGTTATCTTTCTTTTTCTCAGGGGGGGTGGGGGTGC